TAAGTGGCAAGTTGTTAGCTTACACGAGATGACGTACGTCCGACACTCTTATGAGCCAGTGTCCTTCAAGCACTTACTATGGGTGTACGTAGTAAGATTGCGGCATTTCAAGCTGAGCTGTGTGTAACATCACAAATAAAAACGTTGAGTTGCTTTGATATCTTCATTCTCAAAAGACTGATGCCATTTCACATTTTCACGGGCGGTTGCAAATCGCTACGCTCATTTCTCCAAATGATGCCAAGATGAACTCCGTGGTACTGAGAGACTATGACATCATTCAAAGGAGAATAAATTAAACCAACATATTATAATGCACTACTGGCCATAATTAGGCGAGCACTCGAAAGACCCGTAACTTTTTTTCTGTAGACAAATTCTTACTTCTAATCAATCATGTCAATATACTATCATGTATCGGAGCATATTGCAGTTCAGTCCGATTGGGGGAAAAATAGAAAAAGAGAGCAGAAAAGCGCAACAAGAAGCTCTGCCAAGAGGCAGACCAAGATTTGGTTTTTCAAAAGTTTGCCGCTTTCTTTGGATTTAGCAATATTTTGTAAGAGTAAATTCAAATTCCGTAACATGCTGCCTAGTCAGGTTTTATCGCCATTGAAGAAGAATTTATTATTGCTCCTTATGTGAAGTGATGTTACCAAGTTCGGGAAAATGGCAGTGTTGTTGGTTATTAAGCTATCTTGCTTATTTAAGGTTTCCTAAATCCTTAAAATCCTCAGATGTAAAAGATATCAATCGGAATACAATACGCATTGCATATAACTTGATCGCCGATGGATCAAGTGTGCCAGCATCCAGCCATGTCAAGAAACAAAAGAGTTGACATTCCCCGCGGAGCTGAGCAGTTCGCTTTTATTGTGTAAAAGCTCTCATAGTAGTTGAAATACACAGATGTCATTTATGTTCTTCAAGGTTCCTAGTTATTTTTGAAAAGTATAAGATTGGATAGGGAGATGGTTTAATTATAAGGTGCAAGCGGGATGAAGTTCCTCATCTTACATCGTCAGTGAGCTCTTGCCCTATTCAAGTTATTCAACTTTATGGATTCATTGTGACGTGTGACTAAGGTTTTTGGACACGTT